ATATATATATATATATATATATATATATATATATATATATACAAGAAATGAGAAAACAAAATGAAATAAAGAGAGTGCGAGGCGACAAAGAGAGTCGCAGTTTGGAGAAGCAGTAATCAGGTGTGGGAAGAATTCTCACTTGGCTCTTATACGGGTTAGCAATGCATCAATGCTTTTCACTCTCTTATGATGCAATAGATTTGAGAGAATAAATTCCTTACTGTACTGGAAATTCTGGATCATTAGAAATCGATTATGCGGATACCACATGACGTAATATGAGGCAACACTAGACTACGCTACATGAGGTAACACCAGGTGAGGCTATATGAGGTATATATATATATATATTTATTTATAACTGAAAACTCACACCCCAGAAGTGACTCGAACCCATACTGCCAGGAGCACTCTGCTGGCGTACAAGATCCCTTAACCGCTCGACCAACACGACCGGACAAAACATTCAGGCTTGTTTGCATTTGTGTTCCTCACGTGTGCCCCAAAGAATGAGGTGATTTGATAAAATACCATGCCCAAGATTACCAACCGAGTGCCGGCGGGGGGATGGAAATAGCCTCGGCTACCATCCTCTTTTGTCCGGTCGTGTTGGTCGAGCGGTTAAGGGATCCTGTACGCCAGCAGAGTGCTCCTGGCAGTATGGGGTTGAGTCATATATATATATATATATATATATATATATATATATATATATATATATATATATATATATATATATATATATATATATGTCGTACCTAGTAGCCAGAACTCACTTCTCAGCCTATTATTCAAGGCCCGATTTGCCTAATAAGCCAAGTTTTCCTGAATTAATATATTTACTATATTTTTTTTCTTATGAAATGAAAAAGCAACCCTTTTCTCTATGTATGAGGTCAATTTTTTTTATTGGAGTTAAAATTAACGTAGATATATGTCCGAACCTAACCAACCCTACCTAACCTAACCTAACCTATATTTATAGGTAAGGTTAGGTTAGGTAGCCAAAAAAAGCTAGGTTAGGTTAGGTTAGGTAGATTAGGTAGACGAAAAAACATTAATTCATGAAAACTTGGCTTATTAGGCAAATCGGGCCTTGAATAGTAGGCTGAGAAGTGCGTTCTGGCTATTAGGTACGACATATATATATATATATATATATATATATATATATATATATATATATATATATATATATATATATATATATATATATATATATATATATGAAAACACTAGACTAGGATATAGGAGGAAGCACGTGACATAATTTCCAATATAGCACTCCTATCCAAAATCGGTAGTATTTGCGTTGTAGACAGGAGCGACACGGAATGATGCATAAAACACAAAGAGATCTGGCAAGGATCCCCCGAGGTGTCAATGTTTAGATATTGCGTCTCCAGGTGGGATAATCAATCAACTCTGGTGATAAAAATTGAGTGATATTGACCATTGCATATTTGGTGACCTGTTTCTGTCCTTCCTTCCTTCCTCACCCTCAGATTATATTCCCCCAACCGCCTCGTTCCTGGCTACCACGGCATATAAGAAGTGAAATAATGGCTCAAGACGATCTATCCGTAGCAACCTATGTGAGCCCAATGCTAAAATACGCAGTACCAGCAAGGAATTCATATCTTGCGAAACATAAAACTGAACTGAAAAAAGTGCAAAGGTTTATAATAAGATTAGCAACAGAATTAAGATAACTAAGCTATGGAAGGCACGGTGAGAGTTAATATTCGTACTCTGTACCGGTGGTCAGTAAGTTGGATGCACTGAAGAGGAAGTCTTGGAGGCCACCTCCATTCGCAACTTTACATACGACAAAAGATCGATGTTAGGGAATTTAAATTCAATTCAATAGGTACAAGAAGACTAGAAGGTAGATAATAATGAGCTAGACCTCACTTTCCCGTAACACTTGGGTAAACACTGCCATCAAACAGTACCACCACTTGCAACCCTTCCTCTCAACTAATAGGTTGCGTTTTTTACGTTATGGGAACCAACGGTGTAAATTTCAACGTATTAAAAAAGTAATGACTCACAAATATGTTTTCTATGCATTGAACTCGATGCATAGAAAGCATAGGGTTACCTGGGTGCGTATGTTTCTGGTAAGACTAAATCGGGCTGTTCAATATGATCGATTCTTATGGAATTTTCCATGGCAGTTGAACTTCTGTCCACTACCTTCATCGCCCTCAAAAATGTCCTCGTCCCCCACCTCAAAGTCCCCCATTACCAGTCGTGTCCCCCCCCCTTTATCTCTCTTGTCCACCATCATCGTTCTCGTCCCCCCCATCAGGAACCCCATAAGTCGGGCGGATCTGGCAATTTACATCTTAATCTGAAGGTGGTGTGGGCAGGGCGAGCGGGCTGAGGGTGGCATCAAGTTAGTTAACGAGGTGTTAAACTGACGGTCACCGCCTCCACCAGCACCTCCATTAGCAACTACACCAGCTCCGTCACTGCCTCAACTGCCTTCACCATCTCCTTCACCATAATCACCTCCTCCACTGACTCATTCACAGCCTCCATCCCCATATCTACCAAACACCAGCTCCATCACTAACACCACCTACACCTACATCACAGCCTTAACCACCCACACCACCATTTTCACCACATGTAATACCACAACCTCCTTTACCAATAATCCCTCCTCCGCTTCCGTCCCCATCACCCCTACCTCCACTTCCGCACCAACCTATATCTTCACCAACATCAAAGACACCTCCACTCCCTCCGCCACTATCAGCCCTACCTCCACCGTCGCTCTGACTGCGACTCATAAATCTATTACTATTGCAGTGTATCTATTACTATGCATCTATCACAGTGTAACTGTATTCCAAGCTCGGTTGTTTTCAATATATCAGAGTCTAACGATATTCCAGTCCACTCTTGAAAAATTAATCTATAGCTACTATGGATGGAATGTCCAAAATAATGACTGTTGTACCCCAAAAAAGTTTCTACTAAAAGAAATCTAAAGGGAATAACAAAGCTAACCTAAGCCTAAATAAGCAATCCTAAGCCTATCATATGAAATCTTGAAACTTAATTTAGAACATATATGTGTAATATCTAGCCTAAGACTAGTTAAGCTTTGTTGTTGCCTTCTTTCTCGTGCCCTCTATCAAATGAACAGTAGCAACTGGGACCTTTTTAGGGCGCAAAAGTCCATACTGTGTACATTCCATCAACAGTCGCTATAGGTTACATCATATTTGGATGACAGGTTGTGATGTGATGACCAAACCTCACATCAGAAGATGAGGAGACGACGACGTTTCGGTCCGTCCTGGACCATTATCGAGTCGTGTGTGGGACTTGATGTGGGACCGAAACGTCGTTGTTTCTTCATCTTCTGAAGTGTGGTTTGGTAGTCATGTCTTCAGCCACGTTGTTGGGACTCGTCGTCTGCAGGCAGGTTGTGGTATTCTAAGCTCGGTACTTTGTAAAATATAATTGTATTCAAAGCACGTAAATATAAATATTTTAGAGAATAATGATATTGTTATCAGTATAATGGTATTATAAGTTCGGTACTTCTCTACCCCTAATCTCTCGGCCGATTTACGCTAACTGCAGAAATAATTATTTGGGTAATAAAAACACGGAAATCCGGGACAAATCCATTAACTGTAAGACTCATTATCACCACCAGTTCCACCACAACAAGTAACCAGATCCACCAGTGTAGCCACCATGATCACCATCACCCATTTCCAATATCACCATCCATTTTAACAGCCAGAGTAGCTACTACTACTACCAACACCACCAGTGTAACCACCACCATCCATTTCCACTATCACACCACCTATTTCGGCCTCCAAGTAAAGCCACCATCACCCATTTCCACCGCCGGAGTATTTAGCATCAACCATTTTCACCATTGTGAAGTCCCACCATATATTTTACGATATATGAGTGGTGACCATGAGACTCATGTAGAGATTTATAAAAAGCTTGTCCATATATATATATAATTCCCAGCGCATTATACCTCTATCAGTACGCCCCATCCTTTGGTCATGTTCATCTATGCTGTGGCTGACCCCAGAGGCATTGTTTTACAGGAACGGAGCGAAACACTATTCAAGAAAAATTATATTGAAATCAGTTGTGAGTTAGGTGTGAAGGTGTGTAATAGGAGCCACACCACCACATACACCAGCGTACCTGAAGGTGTGTAATAGGAGCCACACCACCTCTTACACCAGTGTTCGAAGTATGAAGCCAATCAGCTTAAGTGTTCGCAAGTCTTCGTCGGTCAAATGACAAGAAACAGCGCGGAGACCCTCATGGATCCCAGAGAGGCGGGTCTCTAATTGATACGACGAGTGGCAGCTATACACCAGCGTCACGAAGTGGCTCTCCTGCCAGGGTCATTCCGAAACCACAGAGGGCCTAAATAAATTTAAGTTTTAACAAAATGATGAAACAACTAAACTATAATTTCAATCCCAGAGAAGACACCATCATCACGACAATCAATACCACACCCATCATCACCATCATCACTCCCCATAGCCCCAACCATCACTATCAACACCATAAAAGTCACTACTACCGTCACCACCAACACGATCACCATCACTGATGACGTCCCCGACTGAACTGATACCATGATTTCCGCCGTCGTCTCCATCACCACACACAACAACAACTATTGAGTCACTGCTATCAGTATTACCACCATATCCCAGCTCCTCCACCACCATCAATAATAACATAACCACCAACATCAACAACATCCCTAAAACCACTACCATCTCTAGCGCCACAGCTACCATCCCTAACTCGATCACCACACCATAGCACCATTACCACCACCACCACTCCTAGCACCACCATCGCCTCTAGCCCCGCCATCACCCTAGCCCCCAACACCAGTTGGGCTGTGAACGCCAGGCCTCGTTGATAAAAGCAATTATCGAAGTGGTAAGTGTCTTGAACGCAAGTGCCAATGACAACGTTCACCATTAATTTGGCACCCGGCGCTCCCTAATATCAGGAATAGGCTCGCTGCTATGTCTTCTTTGTTTAGGGGAGGAATTATTGTTCGGAGGGCAATCTTCCGCCTCAGACTGGAGGATGCCGGCGATGTCTGGCTCGGTCTGGGGGGATGCTGATGGTGTCTGGCTCGGTCTGGGGGATGCTGATGGTGTCTGGCTCGGTCTGGGGGGATGCTGATGGTGTTTGGCTCGGTCTGGGGGATGCTGATGGTGTCTGGTTCGGTCTGGGGGGATGCTGATGGTGTCTGGCTCGGTCTGGGGGGATGCTGATGGTGTCTGGCTCGGTCTGGGGGGATGCTGAAGGTGCCTGGTTCCGTCTGGGGGATGCTGATGGTGTCTGGCTCGGTCTGGGGGATGCTGATGGTGTCTGGCTCGGTCTGGGGGATGCTGATGGTGTCTGGCTCGGTCTGGGGGGATGCTGATGGTGTCTGGCTCGGTCTGGGGGATGCTGATGGTGTCTGGTTCGGTCTGGGGGATGCTGATGGTGTCTGGCTCGGTCTGGGGGATGCTGATGGTGTCTGGCTCGGTCTGGGGGATGGTGATGGTGTCTGGCTCAGTCTGGGGGATGCTGATGGTGTCTGGCTCGGTCTGGTGGACGCTAATTGGTTCTGGCTCGGTGTAAGGGATGCTCATTGGTTCTGGCTCAGTCTGGGGGACACTGATTGGTTCTGGCTCGATTTGAAGAATGCTGCAGGGATCTGACTCGCACACTCCTTAACGCCTTACTTTGTTCATGTCCATCTTTGAAGCGTATTGTTTGTGTTCAATTGAATGAGCACGCAACGGTTCGTTCAGCATTGGTCGTTAATAAAGAACTCTTTAGTCTTAGCGCAATATTCGATCGCTAGATGTGCGAAGAAAGGCACAAACAATTCACGAACGGCATGATCATCATACGAACAGCACGAACTATACAAGAATGAAGGCTTTGTAATTAGGTAATTTTAGGGGTAATTATATATTAGGGTAATTAAATGACATAGTAGAGTATGATAATTAGGAGCCAGAGAGACGTTCTGGAGAAGCTTGACCAGCGACAGTGAGAGAGGGGGAGGACAAAGGAGGGAAAAAGAGCTGTTGTACTGACTGGGACAAGAACTGGACACGTTCACACTGGGGTGAGTAGTACCGCGGGAAAATGGGGCGGTAATAATACATTTTTCTGTTTTTTATTAAAAATGGTCGATCTCGAACCCATTGTTGATGTGACGACTTATATTGAATTTTGTAACTAGCTCATCAAGATTGTAACTTGCTTAGCTAAATGAATTGTGGGGTTCAGTCCCTGAGCCCATTATGTGCCTCTGTAACCCTTTCCACTACCGCCCACAAGATGGGTATGGGGTGCATAATAAATGAACTAAACTAAACTATTAAAAATGTTTTAGCTGATTTCAAGTAGTGTTAGAAAAGCGGGGGGGGGGGGCACCAGGGAAAGATGAGTTATTTGTTTGTTTAATTTACGACTTCCTCGTTTATAGTTGTAATTAATTCCCGTTACTGGGGACAGGAAGCCTGTAGTTAGGATTCCCACCTCTCCACACTCAACTATTGACCTTCATCAGGATACAAGCCAAAACAGTTGCTTAACTCCCTGGTGCCTATTTACTGCTAGGTGAAGAACCGCATCAGGTGAAAGGAAACGTACTCAAACATTTCTGTCCCGCCCGGGATCGAACCCGGGTTCCTTGATTGTTGGAGAGGGTTACACCACTTTACTACAGTCCTATGTCTTCCTCTGATGATCTTCTACACATTGTAATTTCACGAATGATTGATTAATTGAGTGTTATTACCTCTATGGCTCCAGAGGCAATATCACCTAATCAATCAATTATCAAATGTCTCCGTGCAGAGAGACCTTCAGAGTAAGACCCGAGACGTCTCACACAATTATCGAAATTATAAAAAAACAAATGTTGAGGTTTAATGACAGCAAAGGCAATGAGCAGCAGCTGTGAACTAAAAGAGAAGAAACGTTTTGTCAAGAAACGTTGTCAAGAAACGTTTTGGAGTAAGACTAATGTGAATCTGAAAAACAAAAACTCCAGAGATGAGAGCTCATAATTTAGGTTTAGATAATTGGTTCATAAGTATCACAAGCGAATGAGGATTATAAAATGATCTCACTCAGCCTGTAGTAGTGACTCCAGATCCTGATAATGAAATGACTCCTAAACACGTAACTGTGTCCCTAAACTGTGTGGGCAAGTTTCCCCTTGTTGACCTATCAGTAAAAGAGGTACAAATCTAACCTTCTTAACAAACGTTATCTGACTTAGTCTTAGCCCCCTCTGGGCTCTCTTTTCTTTCTCTTCTTTGTTTTCACCTCTTTCTCAGCGCCATTAGACCTTCGCACAGATTTCTTTTTCCTGTAACTTCCTATGGTGTATTCCCGCCTTCTCACATTTTCCCTCACATTCTTACATAATATACTTACTTTCTCTACCATTATTTCTTTACACGACTTGATTAATGATCCGGGAAGGAAAGAAACGTCGCCAATTCCACTATTTTCCGATGTGAGGAGCGTCTTAACCACCTTAGAAGAAGCAAGGCACAGAAAATAGCATATATAACATTTTATACATAACTACAGTAAATATTCCGTAAAAAACACAAAAAAAGCACAAAGAAAAGGAGATGAGGATGAGTGCTTGAGGGAACCCGGGCATGAAACGAAAAAGATTACCGAGAGCAAGTAGAGTGGGGCTCCTGTAGTGAACCAAGTGACCAGAGATATAATGGAGACAATGAGAGGTGGGACACGATATCGTTCATGCAAAACTTGCGGCTGTTGCCTGGAATGAGGCGAACAGGAAAATGACAGGGATACGAGCGATTATTTTACCTGCCATAAAAGGGTAACTCAAGTTATAGATTAACAATAAGAATGAACTTGGGATTATTATTATTATTGATTGTAGTGAAACACAGAGATGGGATAGTGTTTTTAGATGACATTTCGTCTGTGACGTTTAACTATGAGAGATACAGAGGGCTGGTGATTATCAAGGGAAAAAGGAGGAGAGATACGGTCATATTAGTGAAGGTGAGATGATGCCTGGGAGGTACAGAGCTCACAGACGAGAAATAATGTATTACATTATATTCTTGGAGTATTATTTTAGCGAAAAAGATGAGAAATGTTAGATCTTCCTTGCTTCTGTTTGATGATGTAGTGTTTCATGATTGCACATTCTAAACACACACACTCTCTCACTCTAAATAAAAAAAATTCTGTGATGATGAGTTTAGCATCTTTGAAGTTCATCTAAGAGGAATTATTAATATTAAAGAGTTGATTATGAGTCAATAAAATGGAGAAGATATAAAGAAATAAGAGCGAAGCATACAAGGGAACTGATCCAATGATGTCTTGGCCACCTACCTCTCTACCTGTTGACTATAAATACGTTGGTATTTTTATTTTTGTGGCTATGATTAAGATTCTTGCTTGAGTAATATGACCACGGAATGATCGTGGTATGACCAAGAAATATGGAGGCACGACGACAGAATGATCACACGGCATGACCCCCGCTATGATCACAGCATGACCCCCGCTATAGCCACACAATAACCAAACGCTACGACCGTGAAATGACCGTGGTATGACTGGTATAACCGTGGTATATCCACGTAATAACCGTGGTATGACCATAGTATGACCATGGAATGACCAAGATAAAACTACACAGTATGAGTGAGTGCGTTTAGAAGAAAAAAAAAGTTATTCATTACGTACATTTTGCATGAGTAAAACATGCCCTTAGCAAAAAGAGTTCTACTGAAAAACACGAAATGAAAAAATAATAATTTCATATTTTTATTAATATAAAACAGAGATAGTGAACGAATAGTGGTTGAAGAGGTATCAGTTCTGGGGTGGGTACTAGTGTAACTAATACTGGTGGTAGTTGTGGTAATAGTTCTTGGACTGGGCAATAGGCACGAATGCCTGTAATAGTTATTACGTTGGATGTGAAAAAATGCAAAAATGTACAATTTTATAAATGAAGAATATACATATTAGTTTGCAGAGAAAATAAAACCTACCGGGGAAAAAAAATTTAGTCAAACATTTGAAGCTTTGATAATTGTTTTAGATTTTTGCCGTCAGGGGCAGAATAAAAAACTAAATCACGATTTATTTTCGTTTTTTACTTAAAAGACCGGACGTTCCCACAAAGAAGGCAATACAACATTGATAGCAGCGTTGCTTTTGTGTCAAATCATGATCAATGGCCAGGCCAAAACGTAATGTGCTAGTCCTTACCTGAAACGTGAAGTTAATCACGCTTAAATTACAATAATGCAATCACTCAGAGGTAAAATACAGTTAGCTGATTGGCTATGTTGAATGTTTTACTAGAAATGATTGGTCAGTAGTGCAGAGACGAGCATAGTGGCAAGGAATATATCTCGAGCACCGTGAGCATAGCGCAGACCCATTCGTTGATTGGGAACCCCTCACGTATGATTGGCTAATACACCAGGAATATGAGCTGAATGCTCTGTAGATCACCGAGATCAGCTTAATTAGGCACGAAACATCAAATGGTCAGACGTTGAAACGCTATGATTGTTCGGTAATACAGTAACACGCTTGTCTGATACAGTAATTAAGAAATCGGTACGGTTAATTGACAATTTGATTGTTTAATTCAAAAACGCCCGAATATGATTTCTGGATTTATAGCGTTAAGCCGATAGCCAGCTGCAGGAATGTGGTAATTGATACCCATGATTAAGAATAGTTGAAGGAGTCCAACGAATGTATGCTAGTGCCACTGTGGCATGAGCTATCAGTGCCAATTATCTCAATTAGGTTTGTAGTAGCAAATCACATTGGTCGATAACAATAAAAGCTCCAATTGGCTAATACAATTGAGAGAAGAGATGACTGCGCTACAGGAGTAAAAATGACAGTATGACTGGAAGCGCATAAATGGTCTTTTAACTGGTAGGTCACCGAGTCCCGTTAAAACCTTGCAGCTGATTGGTAGGGTGACGAGGGTATTTACAAATCCGGAGCTGATTGTAACGAGGCTGTTAAACATAGATTACAAATATGAAGACGATAAATAAAAGTTGCTCTTATGTAACAATATACTATATCTATTTTACTGTAAATTAAACAAAAATAACCAGTAAAAATAGTAAAAATTCGGTGTGCGCGTGTGCGTGTGTATGTGTGTGCGCGCGTGTGTGTGTGTGTGTGTGCGTGCGTGTGTGTGTGTGTGTGTGTGTACTCATCTATTTGTATTTACCTATTTGTGCCTGCAGGATCGAGCATTGACTCTTGGATCCCGCCTTTCTAGCCATCAGTTGTTTACAGCAATAACTCCGGTCAAATTTCCCTATCATACCTAGTTTTAAAATTATGAATAGAGTTCATAATTTGTAGAGTTGTAGGTGGTTATCATGTCTCTCCTTACTCTTCTGTTTTCCAGGGTTGTGAGGTTCAGCTCCCTTAGCCTTTCCTCGTAACTCATTCCTCTTAGTTCCAGGACCAGCCTGGTGGCATACCTCTGAATCTTCTCTAACTTTGTCTTGTGTTTAATTAACTATGGACTCCAGGCTGGAGCTGCATACTCCAGGATTGGTCTTACATAAGTGGTATACAAGGT